TTAGTACCGTTTCTACCACAGTTAGTGGTTGCAGCGGAAACGACTAAACTTGTCCTACCCGCCTGAGCGTTCTACTTTGGATGTTTCCAAGTTGCTTTCATTGACAACAATCTCGAAAACTGGAGATGATGGGACTTCTATACTTCGTCTCACCCTACGATGGACTAAAGGCAAAAGCTACGGACCGCCAGGTCCAATCCCGAGACACTTAGAAATTGTGTGGTATTTCGCTTCGGTGCACGGGTATTGGCGTATCGGTGCCTGCGTCTCGGATCACTGATGACGGGACGGGTGGACAATGGTTCGAATCAAAGTGCACTGAGTGACTCAACAATTTTACATCGCAAAGAATGCAACGAAATATAGGCTCTTTGCAGCGTCGAAGCTATAGAAATGATGCGGCGTTTTTGGATTCGAGCATTATTCGTCCACTCCTAATCAATGTTAAGCGCGTCATAGTATAGCGTGGAACGTGATTGGACCTGCGGCCCGTGGCTTTGGCCTTTAGTCCATCGTAGGATGAGACAAAGTATAGTGCTCGGATGAGCAATTCATTTAGCTCTGTCGACATTGCAAGCAACACTAAAAAAAAAAAAAAAAAAAAAAAAAAAAAAAAAAAGAGAAGAAAAAAAGAGGGCTATACGGAGTTCGCAAAGCGTGCACAACGCTGTTCATCAGAGTGCCAAAACAAAGGAAGCAAAGGCAAACAAAACCGCGTACTTTCCTTCGTTCGAGGGTATTGGAATTTTGCAAACTGTTCTGCTAAACCGCAGTCTCTATTTATAACCCTAACCCCTCCCCCTCCCCCTCCCTCCCTCCCTCCCCTCCCCAACATAGTCTCCAGAAACGCTCCGCCCGTCAGACGCGGCTAACGCCTCCCAAATCCTGAGCATTCCTGACACAGTCAGACAGAAATTTGTCGGCGCGCCAAAGGCAGAAAAACAAAGATCCACACCAGTTACAAAATGAGCAAAACGAAGGAGAAAAAGGAAACCAACCGGTTGTTTCATATAATCTTTTTTCACGCCCCCCCCCCCCCCCCCCCCCCCCTTTTTTTTTTTCTTTTTCTTGGGGCTGTTTTTGAGTACCTTCTTTATTCCGACCCTAAAAAAGAAAAAAAGAAAAAAACGCGGCGGAGGTTTGTTTGGAAAGGCCGCTTTTGGAACTCAGCATACCTGGGAGTAGCCGGTGAGTTTACGGCTTATAATGGCGGTTATTTAAACGATAACAATCCGATCGGGGTGATTTCGATCCCAGTAAAAGTCAAAAATCTTTCGCGCGTTTCGCTGTGATACTGGCGTAAACGACGTCACGTAAAATTGCTAGAATTAAAAAGAAAGTCTCCTGCTTTTACGAGGTTACCGATAGAAAGCGGCGAATCTAACGGGTGTTTGGCAGAAAAAAGAACCGAGTTTTTGTTGCCGCAAACATTTGCTACGCATCGCCGAATGCTCAGTCTTCGCTCAAATGTTTCACTAGCAGTTGGAACCAAACGCCCAACGTGTCACATCTTCCGGTTACTGATTCAAAAGTTATAAGCAATTTTAGGAAATATTCATTGAGGAAATGGAGCCCGTTCTCGGTAGCAGACGCCGTTCATCTGTGTATCCCCGTTAGCAGACGCCATTTCCTCCATGAAAATTTTCGAAAATCGCGTAGGACTTTTTAATTAGACAACCCCAAGTTCTGAAACTTTGGCTGTGGATTAAACCACTAGTGCTACATCTTGGGAGACAATGAGTGTTCGACGATGCGTAGCGTAGTATTTTGCGTGTAAACGATTCAGCAACGAATCCGTGCCACATATGCTTCGAGCGGCCCCCTCGCCCGTTGACATCCGAAATAAATTGCCAGTCGCGTCACATTTCGCTCGCTAATTGTTGGTTCGACAATACAAGCGGCAGCGCTAAAGGGAAAACAACAAAAGATCCTGCGAGCCTCTAATCCCGAGCTTGCCGACACGCACAGAGGACCAGCGAAACTAAAGCCAGAGCTGGACGGGGGAACACAACAACAAGGGATCCAATCTAGTGGCACTACTGGGCACAATCGATGGCCGGTTCACCGCAACGCCGTTGGCCTCTTCGTCGTCCCCGTCCCCTCCGAAAAAGCTCGAAAAAAAAAAAGAAAAGAAAGCGGCGGCAGTAAAAGCCATAAAAGATGTTCCCCTCCACCCGTACCCCACGAGCACAAGCGAACTCCCCGAAAACCCACGGGTCCTTCCCCCCCCTCCTCCTCCTCCTCCTCCTCCTCCTCCTCCTCCTCCCTCTCTCTCTTCCCTTCCCCCTTCCCTTCCCTTCCCCCCCCCCCCCCCCGGCCACCAGCTGTGCCAGCAGCGAGTCCGGTACTCGCATACACGTACTACAAGTACTGACGGCGGCAGCGACCCCCTCCGATCCGTCAGCGCTGTCCAACAAAAGAGAAGCCAGCTAAGGGGAGGCTCCCAAATGAATGTCCTCAGCCACGGTCTTCGCAGCCGCCGCGCCGTAGCGGGAGGGATCGGGAGCCGACTCCACACATGCATCTAAAAAAAAAGTCCCCACTCCTCTTCAGGATAACTTGGCAAACGAGGAAAAGCCATGACTCCTTGCGAACCAATCGCGGTGGAGGAGAGGGTCACGTGACAACGTAGCGTCGAGTGCGCGCTCCCCCCGTGAAGAGATGTCACGTGTCTCCTTCTGTATCTCTTTAATTGGCTCGTGGGAGCCGCAGCTTTCGTCCTTTGTCAAGATGGGTTGAAAATGGAGCTGCACCCGATTTCCCCCCTCAAGTTTGTGCTCCGAATTTTTTTCTTTCTTTCTTTTTCTGTTCTGGTTTTGAATGAGTCGGCGCTTTCTCGGCGGCTCTACGAGAGCCCGGGAGCGGTTTTTAAATCCAAGTGCCTCTTTGGCACCCGGCAGCGAGTGACTTATCGGGGCGGGTGGGAAGGCGACCCGCACGCCGCCAGGTGGAACGTCGCGCTTCGCCGGCTCGCGTAATCGTAACGAGGGTCTAACCGGCGGGGACGTGTCGTGTGCGCGTCGCCCGCGGCTTGAGAGGCTCGCGAATGGGGAATCGTGCGACCAACTGCGAATTAAAACCACTTAGCCGGCGCACATTATCTGGTCGTTCGTCACATTTACCGGGAATGACGGAGTTTCTTCGAGTGAAACGAAAGATTGTGAGGCCACGCGGGGCAGCGAGCGACTTTCCCGGGGGGAGCTTGCGACATCTTGAAAACTCGAGATCTTGGAAGGAAAAAGTCCAAAACACACGAAAAACCCGATACTTGGGAACAACAAAAAAAGTGGACAACACACACACTTGTCACCTGTGTCCACTTTTTTGTTCCCAAGACTCGGGCTTTCACGATGTTGAAAGTTACTAAGGTACGCTGCTGGGCTAGTTGGTTCGTTTTAGTTAAACAAACAAAACAACACAAAAAAGGCGGGGACACGAAGTAACCAAAACAAGCGCTTGTCCTGTTTACTTCGTCTCCCTGTCTTTTTTGCGCTATTTTATATGTCTATGTTGAAAGTTCACCAGCTCGCCTGCATGTTCTCCGTGGTTTCTATCTGGTTTCCTTCAGTGAGGCTTGGACGTACAGTCACTAGAAAGCTAAGCTCAAAGCATCGACACTCTTCTCCCACCCCCTTGTCCGACGCCGCGAAAACGGTCATTCGTCCGTTCGCGTCACCTGACATTCGCTCACGTGCCAGCTTGGCGCCGCCATTTTGGTACTTAGAGCCGCCCGGGCACCGCCGTTTGCGACACTTTTGTGCTAGATCATTGCTGCATCGTTTTGCTCTGTTGGGAAATGTTTCAGCAAACAGGACAGCCCTGCTTACACTATCCGTGAGGCACATCGGTAAAGGCTGGTGACAAACGGCAACACTGATTCTAGGCTAAATGGCGCGAGTCACTGCCCGTTATAAGGATACGGCCATTAGCGTCCATCCATTAGGCTCAAGTGTCGTTACTCTAAGAAGGCGAAGCTTATTTAGTGAATGTCGTTTGCCCCAGGCTGCTATCATTCATTTTAGAACCGAGAATAACCAATATTAATAAATTAAAAAAAAAGGTTTAGTAACATTGGAATTTCTAAATTTGAAGACGAAATGATACTCAGAAAACTTTTCAAAAATTCACTAAACAATCCTCCCCTTAAAAAAAGAAATATATATATATATTATTTGGTGGCATTGTGGTGATTTTTTATACTAGCGAGAAACACACATTTTCTCGACGCTTTTCAGCTTCCAACGGTATTACTAGTAGCGGGAAAGTCTATTTTATTGGCAGCCAGGTGTTTTTGCCGACCTCCTGACGCACTATTCTCAGGAAGTATGTTTGGATGAATCGTGGCTTGAAAATAGCCCCACGAACGCGTCCGGCACTAAATTTCGTTTTCACGCCACCCTACAGATATTGAACTCCTATGATTTCGAAATTGTGCTCACCTAGTTCGGGCACACTGTCACCTTCGTAATGCACAAACACAACCCCCCCCCCCCCCCCCCCCCCCCAAAAAAAAAAAAAAAAAAAAAAAGTTTACAGTGTTATTATTATTTTTTTTCAATGCAAAAATAAATTACACATTTTCGAAACGTTCATTCTCTGCCCAAGTGTGGAGCTAGCGGTCCGGACCAGGTGCCAGAGTTTCAGAACAAACCCTTATCTCAGTCAAAAGCTATAGGTGATTTTTAGAAAATTTCCACGGGAAAATGCGGGGCCGTTTTCACAACTTTTCGGTAACTGGTGCCATTCAGCTCCACGTAAAAGTTTAGAAAGCGCACTCGTAATTTTTGAATAAGATAACGGTTAGTTCTGGAACTTTGACATCTAGTGTAGTAAATAAACAAAACAACACGTCGTAAAAACAAAACAAAAACACCTTAACTACAAAGGGCAAGTGTTCATTGGGGTACCCAATCAAGGTTGGAAAATGCGACTTAATGTGTAAAAAAAAAAAAAAAATGTAAGAAATACTAGGGTACATACTACATAGTAGTGAAACTCACATGTCGCTCTTCACTACTGTGAACTGCTCGTGCCGATTTTGCCAGGCAGTAACGCACCAGAAGGGATAGCCGTATGTCACAGGGCAGAGGACAAGCCGTCACAGCCAGGCGGGATATGAAAAAGACGAACACAGTTAAGGCCCCGTTCACACTCTTGCGGCCTCTTAAACCTGAATTCCTTAAAACTTCTTAAACTAGAGGACACGCTGGCGCCCTCTATTGGGAAGCAGTGTAAACTCGGCGGTCCGGCATATTTTTTTTTATTTCTCGCGCATTATCCTTTCTTTCTTGGCTCGAAAAACTTTTGTCAATGTTATAAACGAGTCTTTCTATGGGTATTACGCACATTTGACCTCGGAAATCCTGCAAAACCTTCGCTCTTGTGAAATGCAGCTCCAGGGTCACAGCATAGATGGCGCCACAATGCCCAGTGTGTTCCCTCATTTTAAAAACATTTAAGAAGTTTCAAGAGATCTCGTCTCTCTCAGTCGTACTCGGTCGTAAGAGTGTGAACGGGCCTTTAAACATATCCCCCATTATAGGTTAAAAAAAAAGAAGAAAAATAAGATATAGTTGGTTAAACATAGCTAGACAAAGGGAAAAACACCTATTATTGAGGTACTTTATGGGTTCTGAACTGCAAGACTCTTGGTCCACGCATAGAAGCTTGGGCGAGCTGTCTTGTCCACGATACACGTGAAACGTATCCAAACCAAACAGGAGAGGTACACGTCGAGCACGTCACGTTTCGCCTGTGTCCGCGGCCCCACCTGCGATTCTCCCAGAGCTTGTCAAGGGAGAACAACGGGCCGTTTTCACATAAAGCCGACACCAAGCGGCGAGATGTGCAATTAACGTCCAAAAGAGGACTCGCCTTCCTTTGGATGCATAGTGCAAAGGAGACGCCAACCGTTGTTCGAGCTTTAGCCGCCACGCGAAAAGGGTCTGCGCATGCGCGGGACTCTTCCCAATCAGCCAATTGGATCTTGCCACGTAAGAGGAGTGGCAACTTTGGTTTCGAACAGCGACACACCCTGGAAATCGCCGAGTGACTCCGCAAGGGTCCACTCACCCGACGAGGACCGCTTGTCGTCAGAAGCGGCCGCAGCCGCGGCTGCGGCAGCGGCTGCCGCTGCTGCGGCTCGGTGGTCCTTGAGCGCGGCCGCGGCCGCCGCCAGGTGCGAGGGCGGTGGAGGGCCCAGCGAGGACAGGGCCAGCAGCCCCGCGGCCGTGCTCGGGGGAAGGCCCCCTCCGGGAGGCTGCAGGCCGGCCATGGCGTGCGGGAGCATGGGCAGCGGGGGCGCGTGCGCGGGCATCTGCTGCGCGTGCATCTGTTGCTGCGGGAGCGTGCAAGGTGCGTCTTCTTAGCGCCGGTGCACACCTTCGTCCTTGAGTGTGAGCGCTCTAACCGCTTGCTACGAGAGAACCCGCTTTCGCCATCATTCGGCAAGTCCCGATATCCGGAACGCTCAGGACAAGCCCACGACGAAAGAATCACACGTAACACATTTGAAGTTTGAAGTGGAATCTTCAAATCAGAAATCAAGTCGTCGTTTCAAAAATTCAAGCTGTTTCATTTTTTCCCCCTCCGTTTTTCCGTTATTTACCAAATAAAATAATAAAAATAAACAATCATTATTAGTAAGCTTTACAAATAACCAATGCTTTCGGTCCCCAGAAGAATGTGAAATAAATTTCGATGATGCGCGAGGGAGCCGCGCTGTACGTACCCCGATGATGGCGTTCAGCTCGGTCATGGTGACCTGCTTGGCCCGCTCCACGGCCGCCGCCACCTGCTGCTGGTGCTGCGCGACAAGAGCGCCGCTCGCTTTAGATGCGGCACGGTGCGCGCTTCCTTCCACATTCGTCGAAACCTACAGCACTTCATATCACGTGACGCTGTCGTTAAACCAACCGAGCGTACGAGAAAACCCGACACAGCGCGGTCCGAGACGTCGTTGCCGGTCGGCTGCTGCGCCAGACAGACGCCTTTCGTTAGCAGACGGACGCCGTAGGAATTTCAGGTCCTTGATTTCCAACGTTTTACACGGGTAAGGTCGTTTGGTAAAATTTTTATACACAAAATCAACCATCTTCGGCCACCTCCGTGGTAAATCCTATCGCGATAAGTGGAGAAACCGATTTACGCGGTTCATCCAAACAGCCAACGATCACTGACTCACGCGGTATTATAGGCTGTCACAAATCCCGGGGCTGACTCTAAAATCGACCGAAAAAAATCGGCGCTTGGGACACATGAGCTAAACGCAACCAATTTGCGCAAAAGACGTCCGCCATAAAATTACAAATGCTCTCCACGGTCCCGTTAAAGCCACAGCTCTCTACGCAACTCCAAAGCAGACGACGCTACCCAGCGGGAAGGATTTACTTTTAGAAACAGGGAGCTCGCGCCAGTCGGAATGTATGCAGCGCAAACTTCCGCGGCCTGGCGGCGAAAATGTGAAACAGAGCAACGGGGATTAAATGCACACGGAGTCGCGAACACGTGTGTAACCTCCGCGAGGAAGCAAATGCCGACAACAGGTGCGTCGTTCGCCTAACCGGTGGGGCAGGCGAAGGGCGGGGCGGGCCAGAACAGCCGGCCCTCAGAGGAGACCCACCTCTTGGGACAGGAACGGCAGGATCTGGGCGATGATGGCGTTCAGGCGCTTGGCGATCTCCGTCTGCAAGAGACGGCCGCAGACGCGCAAACGAAACATTAAGAAAGAAAAAATGTCCACATTACGTTTTACTACGTTCACCCATAATTCATTATTAAAGGCTGGTTCATACACTTGCAAGTGCTTACGACCGAGTGCGTTAAAACCGCGTCTGGCCTCTTACGAAGTGTTAACACACTGGCGCCATCTATCGTATTTGCTGGCTCGAATATCTTTTTGACAATGCTATGAACTGCAATTTCTCAGACAGCGCGTACATTTCATCTCGCAAATCCCGCAAAACCTTCGCTTAATAAGTGAAATGCAGATCCCGGGCCACCTTAGGAGGAGAGAACAGTGGGCCACTGGTGTTCTCTCGTCTTAAGAGATCACAAGGTCGTAATCAAGCGCAAGTAGGTGAACCAGCCAAGGGTACTGGAACGAAATCCTATAGCACCTATCTTTTCGCATAAATGTCAACCATGTTCTGGACACATCACAGACACCAAAAGATCCATTATAGTCTGTTGCATTAAGAATAGCAGGATTAGCTTCTTTTTTTTTACTAAGCCCTCCACTCTTTCCACTTTAGCAGAGCGAGCGCCGGAAAGGACAAAATCACCAGTCATTAGGGAGTTTTCGTAGATCGTTTTCGCCCTCCCGCAAAGCCCTCCGCAATCCGCTACGATAGCGGGAACTCCACAGTCAAGGCTATCGGCGCGCAGGCGCAGTAGCAACTTCTTCGTTGCGGAACGCTTAGCGGAGGGGGCCAACGCGGTCTACGAAAACTCCCTATTACGAGCAGAGAGCTTTGCGTGAGGCGTTTTCCCCGCTATTCTTAACTCGCAACAGACCGATGACGTTAAAGGCGAAAAGGCGCACGCACTGTCCTTTTTCCAGGCGGCATTGGTCGGGGCGACCGACCGCGTTCCAAACCGGCTTCCGGTTCCGGCGTCTGCGCCGGATGACGCCCCGAGCAACGCCGGAGCAGAGGCCACGGTCCCAACACGGTCCCGCGCGCAAGCGACGCAGGCGGCCGTGACGCGAACGCTGCTCGTCCGGCGACGCGCCGGCAGTTCACAAGCGGCATGCGGAGGAGCGACGCCCACCGAGACCATCGCGGTCCGAACGCCGACAGCCGGCCTCGCTTCATGTCCCCGAAGGCTAGCGGCAATGATAACGCAACCAACTGTTTTTTTTTTGTTTTTTGTACATCTAAAATATGGGGGAAAATTTACTTCTGAATTAAAAAAAGAAAAACGGCTTTAAGTAAGCCGCAGAATTTTCCGGTGTTCAGTTATTAATAAAACAATGAATTATATTTATAACTTCGGACGGAGGTAAAAAGAGGTGATTATCGGTAATATATATATATATATATATATATATATATATTATATATATATATATATATTCTATAACAAAAAAAACATTTTCAGCAACAACAAAAAATCGTAGCTAGAACAAAGCTTTTTTTTTAAGAAATCTGTTTTTCGGTTTTAACCGATCTTGTATTTCTAACACCGACGGATATGTCTAGAGCTTATTCGTACGTTTGAGCGCGGTTATTTCGGGGTTTGTGTTTCCTCACAGATTCGGTGTTTTTGGGTACCAGTTTTTAGTGTCGGAAAAGAAATTCGAAGTGTGTGTGCGTGTGCTTCCGTGCATGCGTGTGTGCACCGTTCCGGATCAAGACAAAACAAATCTCTAGACAAAACGATTTCTTCCCGGAAAGGTTGAATTTTCTTATTCAATAACAACGTTTTTTGTGTTTTTTTTTTTTTCTTGATTTTGATATGAATCGTAGGCTAACTCTCGGGGTTTATCGGTGTATAAATACCGAAAGCACGGAACACTTTTAACGAAAACAACCGGACTTCAGACGCAGCGGTGGGATGTACCTCGAAAACGTCCAATCTGCACGCCAAAAACGACGCGCGCGAGCAACGAATCTGCTACGCGTATTGGTCTCGACTACTAATCGTCTCATCAATAGTTAAATAATAATAAAAAAATAAAAAAAAAAATCTATGCGTACAAAATGGTTAACAATTTGTACTAAGAGTATCGCTGAACGCGTGCTCGTGCAATCGGGGAGGGTTGCGCGGGAAAGCAGAAACTCGCGCTCACGCGATAAGCTTCTTTTGTTTCAAGATAAGCACCTGTAATCGAGCGTAATTGGCCGCGAGCTCCGCAGTCGATTGTGAGGGTAAGCGCTCGTGCGTGTCCACTCCTTGCCACAAACCGGGCATTCTTTCTCGCTTCCACAACGAATGATGAGCGAGCAGAGCCGTATATGTAAAGAGTTTGGTCAATGGGAGGCGCGGGCAGAGCCAGGGCGTGCGGCAGACTCGGAAAAAGGGCTTGGCATGCTCTCTTGACAAACCAGAAGCCGAAAAGAATCCCCTAGCGGTGGTAGCGAGAAACAGTTCTGAGCCGATCGATCATCGAAGGTCTCTGTTCGTATATGGTTTTAATAAGTGTGTAAGAGTGAAGTGTAGTAACTCTTTGTGGTTGAAAATAGGGTTCACGTGTTCTTTTATCATGATCATGCCGGAAGATGTAAGAAACGAATGCGCCGCTCAACTCTGTTTTGCGCGGACGGCAGATTCCCGGCGCTCGGCGTAAGGATTATGTCGATCTTTCCGCTAGTCGCACTCTTCCACCATCGTTTTAGATGAGTGTGATTGAAACATCACGTGTACCATATTTTCAGTCATCGAGAGTTACTCCAATGCAGTTATCAGGTTTGTTTCTCGCGACCACCGCCAGGGTATTATTTCCGGCTTCTGGTTGGTCACATTCGAATTTCTGAAGACGTCCTGGAACACGCCCAGCCCGCTTTCGGCCAATGGCGCCGCTTCATTTGTCTCCTATACTTCCCAACGAATGGCCAAACTCTCTACATATACGGCTCTGTGAGCGAGTAATCCATCCATGTAGTTATTGTACACCACATCGTAAGAACCCGGAGCGACACGGAACAATTCGGAAGGTAATCCAGTGTCCACGTCTCGAGCTAAAAGCGCGGGGTCAGCCCGTTCCGAGGCTTTGGCTTCGCCTCCCGCAGTGACCTCTGCAATGATCCAAGCAGTTTCGAACGGACGGATGGATGGTAACGGGTAACGACTGAACCCCTCATAACAGGCGGTAGCTTGCGCCACCTAGCCTAGAAACCAAAACCATCACTCATTTTCTCTCATCCCTCCTCCGCCGTTCTTCGTGTAGCGCGCGTGATAAAGGGGCACGTGCGTCTATTCGTCTCTCTCCCAGACATGTGTTTTGTGACCTTCGTGTTTTAGCCGACACGCGCTGACAGTTGAAGGCTCCCTAGTTGTAACCTTTTCTGAAGCCAGCCCGAAGCCCTCCTCGTTACAATCACCGACGGTATGACAACGGAAGGGAGGAGTTTTAGTTGTCCCGCCTTCAGAGCGAGCGGCGTTTCGTGACCTTCGAGCGTGCGTGAGCAACCAAAGCACGACAAAGGCAGCGAGCGCGTGCTGGAGGCGCCCGCAAGAGACTCCCCGCTCTTCTCATCCCGTGAGTTTGGGATTTCAAACACGTCATCGTCTGTTTGAGAAGCACGCACAACGGCTGGACTGCACGAGCGCGTGTGCAAGGAAGGAGCAGGCATCCACTTGAAAGTAACGTTGTTTGAAAACCTCGCTTTTGTCGCTTCTGCCTCAAGGACTGCCTTCGCAGGCGTGTGCCTACGCTGTGCACGATTTTTTTTTTTTTTTTTATTGGCAGGAAGTGACGTTTTCGAGTCAGTTCCGGGTGTTATAAAGAATAATATAAATGGCCCGTCGGTGAAGCTAAGGTTCGGCGGCCTTCGTTATAACTTATAAGTTTCCCCAAATCTCGGCCCCTAAAGGTTGGTTCACACATTTGCGTCGATTGCGCTGCGTCATGCAGCACAGCGCCTCCCCACTGGCTCGTCGTAAGGGTCGCCATAGCAACAGCTCGACTCCAGTCGCACTCGGACGCAACTGTGTGAACAAGCGGTTAAAAGCAGCCAGCTTTTAAACGCTTATTCCAGGCCAACCCCCAGGGCGGTATGGTTGGCCTGGCAGAGGTCTCCGCATCCTTAGTCAAGCTCCTACCTAACGTCTGCAAAGAACGACGACCTTGATTGTGTGGAATGCACGTTGCAGGAGCACTGTGGAAGCTTTAGAGGGGCTATGCAGCGGTTTTTGTACTTTGCGAAAATGCCGCTTAGAACGGATATCTGACGTTAATGACCTGTGAAACATCCCTTCGTCTTTCAACACACGCAATCGAAGTCGCAGGAAAAGAAATGAAGAAAAACGAGCAGGTTCATTCCCTCAACTCGCAGCCAGAGCAAGCGACCACGTGATCGGGAGCCGATCATATGTCGCCAATGTTGATCCAACGACGTAATTGATCCTAGCCACGGTTGCAGCGATTGGGAACGAGCCAATACCCGAATGTTTCTTGAGCTATCGATTATCGCGAGCCCAAATCGAGTGCCCACGAAATGCTTTGGTCCATCCTATGAGCCGCATTCAAATATCGGCCGGCGTAGCCGATATTTTCGAACACCTTACAAGCAGGGTGTAAGATAATACTCTTCAGGTGAGGACAGCGCGCTCCTCACGCAGTGCAGAAAAAGTTAGCTTTTCACTCTCTCTCTCTCTCTTTCTCTCTCACTATGGTTTCAAGGATGATTCGTCGACCCGTGGGCACGGCAAAGACGGCTCGTGCCGCCTCATGGTCTACACGCGCAGAGCTCCAGCGAGGTTGTCGCTCGTGGAGAAAGACCATGTTGTAACGAGGTGTCATGACAACGAGATAATTTTTTGCGCTCTCACGCATTTTTGCCGTTTGGCCGCCGGCGACACTGTCAGCCGCGGACACGGTGGCCGCGGGATAATGCAGCCTTTCGGATGCCCGTCGAACGAACACTATCTGATTCCTCGCACCGCACGTTCAGCCCCGCCGTGTCCTCACCTAAAGAGTGTATCTTACACCGTGGCCACAAGTACGGGGGATGGGGGATCGGTGGCCGAGTGGGCAAGCGCACACCAGCTCGGAGCACGTGGATCGAATGCTCGCGCTGCAGAGACCAGGGATCTTGGGTTCATTCCCACCTCTGACAGTTCCGATCTGGATGAGTATCGTACCGGCGAGTGGTCATGTATCATGATCTACTCCGTAGCACGTTAAAGATTTCAGGCTCATCTAATGCTGAGAGAAAGGTTGCCCGTTGAGGCAGACTAAACATACCCCCAACTCATTTTTTTTTATTTTATTCATTTATTTTGCTGAAAGCACGAGTTTGTTGCTTTGGAAAGTTCTTCCAGAAAGCGACCACTCGAGCTAGAAATGCACGTCTGAAAGCTAAGCCCACGGGTTAGCTCGCGCTTGTAGCTTTGGCTGCAGGGTATAATAAACATCGCGCTATGAGCAAAAAAAAAAAAAAAAAGTGCTTTCTGTTTGTTGTCAACCAACTAATGATGACAACTGGTGCCGTTTAAAAGTACAAAATGATCGACTAGCATACTAGAGTCGGGATCACGAAGTTCCGCAAAACGAACCCCCACCCGGCCTCGTTTCGCATTCACAACAAAATTCCTCATTAAAACACGACAATACCCCCAGCCCAGCTTCCTCAATCAACCACTCGTCAGGCGCATATCCAACAACCTCCATTGTCACATCCTTCATCCGGAAACCATCATCCAACAAAGCCAAGGAAACTTCCCCTCGGTATAAATTCCACAATAAAAACAAAACAAAATGCTTTCACGAGGAAGAAAAAAAAATTAGGAGAGGCAACAACTTCACTCACCTCACCCTCTCCAGCACCTCACAAACAAAAGCACTACCCCGACCGAACCAAACGAACACACGCAGCTCGACAATATCGCTACCGTAACTCGGTTCGCCCCCGAGCCGACAGCGCAGTGGAGGCGATGCACTCGTCGGACCAGTCATGAGCCTACCTTTCACCACTTATGCCGCCCGTATTCCCACGCGCAGCAGAGTCAGGTGATGAAAGGGCGTGCGGTTGATTAGTCCCGCGAGCTCGCGCCGCACTGTCGGCTTCGGGCGGAACGGGCTCACGCTGGAGCAAAATAGGAGGGAGGGGACGCCTCACCGCGCGCGCCGGAGAGTTCGCACCAGCGCGTCGTCGTCGTTGCGGTGGAGCGAGAGAGCGCGTGCTACGCTTGGGCACTCGTGCGGCGCGTGCACGGAGCGTAGCGCCGCGTTCCGCTCCGGCGCCGGCGGCCAATTAGGGGGGCCACAGGCGGACAAGCCCCATTGGCCCGGAAATGGCGGAGAGAGAGACCGGCGGGAACCGCGTCGACTTGGCGAGGCCCCGCAAAACGCCGAGGAGGGAAAGAAACACTCACCTGTTTGTGCATCTCCACGTTCAGCCCGTACGACATCTCGTAGTACTGCAAAGGAAGGGGAAAAAAAAGCGCGCGTGTCAGCCTGGCTTCTTTTTTTTGGGACTCGAGCAGACTGGATCGATGAGTTTGGATGGCGCGAAACCCTCAACTTGGAGGCGCAACTTTGCAGCGCCCGACGACTGGGGTACGTGGAGAAGGAAACAATTACGCTAGCGTGTTCTGTCGACCGCGCTGCTGACGTACGCGCATGCGAAGTTTCGGATTTACACACAATGGCGAATGTGCACTCAGGCACGCACCGAAAGCTGCGTGTGTGTCTGTGTGTGTAGTACTAGTACGCTCCAGTGAAAAAAACTGGCAATGGCCCATTGGTTGCACGCGGCAGTGCATCATCCTGGGTCCAGTAAACAAAAACACTGTTCACGTTCTCCGCATCCATCGACACGCTCAGAATCTATTAGGGCTTCGTCGAGTTCTCTTCCTCACTCATACCGGCCTCGAAATGTAATCTGAGCGAGAATCGAGGCAGTACTTTGTTGCGACCGAAAGCAATACCCGCTCTTCCGCCTTCAAATTTTCTTCCTTCCTTTTTTTTTTTTTTTTTTCTCTTTATTACGGTTTGATACTATTAGGGCTAAGGGTGAGCAATTTGCAAATTATTCCTTCGTGCGGTTGCTCTCGAGACAGAGGAAGGACTTCTTGCGTCGTGAAAAACTTACGGTGGCACAAGCGGATCTTACGCTGTAAAACGAGCCGGAAGGATCAGCACCGACACATAGACAGCTCAAACTTTTACCGAATGTGCACTGAGGGGATCAGATTTACCGTGTAAACTTTCCAAATGTAAGTCTCTTGTATAAAAAAAAAAATGAAAGCAACAAGCTTGCTAAAGTCAACGTCGAACGCGTTCGTAGGCGGTCGGGTTCGTGACGCAGTTAACTTGTGGCGCCATCTCTCGATAGGCATAGCGAGCGGGCGACGCACTCTGTTGTCTGCTCGCTGCGCCTGAAGGGAGATGGCGCCACAAGTTAATAGCGTCGCTAACTCGGTCGTCTGGGAACGCGGCCGACGTTGACTTTGGCAAGTTTGTTGTTCTTACTTTTGCAGCAAGAGAACTATACGCCTTGAAATTTCACACGATAAAACTGACGTGCTCAGCAGTGGCGTAGCCCGCCGGTGGGGGGGGGGGGGGGGGGGGGGGGGGGGGGCTTTTTTTGCATTTTAAGTCTTGAACGTCCCAGCCACCTGCCACCTCCTCACTCATTCCCCACTCCCCCCTCAAAAAGAATTTCTAGCTACGCCACTGGTGCTCACTGCTCAGTGCATATTCGGTGAAAGTTTGAGCATTCAATGTGCACAGGCGCCGATTTCTTTCGGCTCGTTTTACAAAGCCAGATTCGACTGTACCACCCTATACATCTTCCCAATTCGGAATGAGATTTCAGTGTTGTGGAAGCCACCGACGGCGAAAGAAAAAAAATATTTTTGTTCGGAAAAAATAATTCTTAGAGAAGAAGAAGGAGGAAAAAAAAAAAAAAAAAACCTTTGGGAGACATTGGGTTTTTTTCAACAGAGTTCTGCGCAGCTCATCCAGCTCACGCGGCGGCAAAAGCTGGAACTACGGTTAGCGCGGTGAAAGGGAGTTGCGCTACCTCTCCCGCGCTCCTGCACCGTTTGCACAGGAGGAAGGAAAGGCAGCGCAACTTCCGTCCCAGACGCCAAGCGTGTGGCTGGAGCATTCGCCACTTGGTGTCGCCTTTTTGCAAAATATAGGTCCATTATTTTTTTTTTCCGTGAAAAGGCGCGGCGGTGGATTCCACTCGTGCGAAGCGCACAGCTTGCGCTGCTGCGTAGTATCTATGTATTAGGAGCTTAAGCGAAAAAAAGCAAAAAAATGAAGAGCGACGACTCACCATGACGTAGTGCCTCTGCATCTCTGTCTTTTCGCTGGCCAACTTCTCGCACTCGAGCTTCAGACTGAAACAGAAAATCGAAGATGTAACCGTCACACCCGGCCCACACGGAAAACGCCAAGGTGACCCCTCAGTTGCAGTGTTATGTGCGGGGTGCTTCTTTGTAAGCTTAAAGAAGCACTGACACCCCAAAGGTCGTATTTTTTGTGTTGTCTAAAACGATGCAAATTGTAATCATAAACACGCAAAAAAAAAACGCATGCGAAAAAAAAAAATTCCTTTTTATTTTCGGCATTTTTTTTCCCCCGCTGCTCTACTCCTTGCTTCTTTTGAATGGTGACGTCAAAAATCATGAAATTTAGAAGCTTTGTAGGCGACCTTTCTATAACATTTAATAACGGCAATCGTAAAACATGTCTTTTAACGCAATTGCGACCGCACTAAGGCCCCTCTTTTTGCAAAAAAAAAAGAGTCCGGTGTGATGTCGCTTCCTGGATTTGTATCCTCCCTCGGAAAACTTGGCGGCGCTCGAGCAGAGGATGGTCGGTGGTTCGGGGGAAGAAACCGGTTTTTTCCCGGTCCACCCGGCGCCCTTCTCTCCCTCCTCGCTTCGGGTCGCGGTGGCAACGGCGCTTTGCTTTGCAGCGTGGAAGGGAGGTCCGAAAGAAAGTCGACTCGCAGGAGACCACAAAATTTGACGTCACTCCACTGGCGCGGATCGCGCGGGAACTCCAATTCGGCATTTGGAAATTGTTTTTTTTTTTTTTTTTTTTTACTTCACAAATACTGAATTTCCAAGTTTCGAATTTTGAGGGTAATGTCCCGGCATCGTTTTCAATCGTTTCGGATAATAAAAAAAAAAAAATGATTTTGATGTGTCAGTGCCCCTTTAACATACGTGTTTAAAAAAAGCCGTGAAAGCTACACTACTGTTGTTTCTGGAGGTGAGCTGTGCGGTCAGGAGGACATAATAAAGGGGGCAAAACGCTATGATAAGTCGACTAATTACTCAAATCTGTTATTTATCTTTTTGATTAGAAAAAAAATTACATATGGTTTTAATTAGAAACTTGCCGAGCATCATCGAAAACCACTAAAGCGTGGGAAGAGCAGTACTGCGCTAAAGTTACCACTGGTGCAACAAACACAAAACTAAAGCTACAAGAAAAAAGAAAGAAGAAAAGTGCAGCGTGGTTTTGCACCGCCAGCCTTGCTCCTGCTGCAGGACCTTAGCGCTCCACCGTGCCTACCATGTCCTCCAAGTATTTCTAAAGGCCCGTTCACACTCTTGCAACCGAGTACGACCGAGAGAGACCAGACCGGTTTTTAAGCTTCTTGAGACCTCTTAGAACCGGATGCGCGGCAGCGGAGCTGGTCCTAAGAGATTGCAAAAGGCTTAAAAACCAGTCTGGTCTCTCTCGGTCGTACTCGGTTGCAAGAGTGTGAACGGGCCTTAATGCTGACTGATTTTGTGGTTTTCGATGACGCTCAGCAAGCTTCTAATTACAACCACATGTTAATTCACATATTTTAGTTAATTAGTTGAGCGACAATGACGGTTAGCCCCTATACTATGTCCCCCGCACAAACCGCATTAGTGTAGCTTTCACGGCTTTTTTTTTAGACAAATCTGTTTAGCTAAGAAAGAACCGAAAGCTGTGAGAAACCATAACTTTTTCTCTTTAATTTTTGCTCTACCCGAATTTTTCGCACAATTTTGGAGAACTGCAGGGTCATTTAGTATTTGCGCGAAACCTCAACGGGAAACGCGAAGATCTTGGGATATATATATATATATATATATATACCGAAAAAAGAATTGCCGTTTGTGTTTACAAACTTTATACCGCGTAAGATCGGTCTGCCTTTGAGATGCGGAGACACTGGTTTACACCGCAGACGAAAAATTGTGGGCACACCCGGGACTCGTTTGTCAACAGCGCGTTGGGCCATAAACAGAAGACAAAGGAGAAACCACCCAATTCATTGCGCTGTTCACCATTCTGAGCAAGACTTCGTTGCCGCAGCGTGCGAGAGCTTATCTTTGTCGCTCGCTAATCACGTTGACAACCGCTAATCGCCTAGATACACACACGCCTGAGAAGAGGATAACGGCTCTTCGACGAGAGGTTCTTTCCTCTTTTTTATATACACTTTATCGCAGTTTAGTGCTCTCCAAACTGACACGGCTTCGCCCCTGTGATCTGAAACGACCTTCAAGGAGCTGTGCAACAGTTTCAGTGCTTTGCTTAAATAATTTGGGAGTTGGTGTCTCCACCTTTCTGAAGTAATGCACAAAAAAAAAAAAAATGGTTTTGCCTGCGTGTCCTAGTTTTTATTTTAAAAATGGACAAAGACTGGGGTTTTCGGCACCTCTCAACTCCTTCACCATCTTCCGAGTCACGTGCGCTGTGACGTCAATGGGGGTGGCGCGAGGTTTTGGTGAGGCTCTCTCCCGCTCGCGACCGCGTGACCACGTGCTGGCGGGCGCTGCGCGAACAACGTGGTGAAAGGAGGAAAGTCTCATCCGGCTCTGTCCTTCTCCCCTTCCGGCTTCTGGCGGCTCTTCGCGGTAGCAGATAGAGCTGACGGTTTTGTGGACCTAGGATAGATGGCGCTACTAAAACTCCGTATAATAAAAGTTTTGTCGATGAGACCAGGTTTTTGACGCATTTATCTTTCTATTGGAGCGACGAGATTTCTAGAAAAGTTACCGTTTATCGAGCAGGTATTCGCACAACTTGCTATTTTTCTACAAAACCCCTCATTGACGTCACGCCGCGTGTTTCTTATGGCAACCGCTCGCGGCTGCAGGTCGGGGAATGTTCTAATTTTTGCCTCGCGATTACGCGGCGGAATCGCAACATTTCGAAGGAAGGAGGTGTGTTTTCCGTCCTTTGTGACAAGGTGAACAATGTCAAAAGTAGAAGATGCCAATTCTTTCAACGTTAAAATCGTTGCACAGCTCCTCTAAAATACAAATGCTGCTGCTAAAAAAAAAAAAAAAAGTGAACTGAACATTAAACGATGACTTTTATTTTTTATTTCTTTTATGCGTCTCTACAGTGTCCGTATGCACACAAACAAGCGCCTCTGTCATTAGGCAAAAGTTCAGCGTTACAACAAGGCTTAGTGCGCGGGATCTTGGTTTTATTGTTGGAAGCCATTCACTCACATATTCTCACGAAGACAAGTGACTTTCGCCATCGGCTCACACTACGTGTTGGCCGGACGCCACCCTCAAGAAGAATTCCAAGCTTTTTGAATCACGTTTAGTCCTTTACCGTCTTACACCATAGCCTCCCCTATACTCACAAAGCCTGGCAGTTCGACGACGGAGCCAGAGCGCGTGCCCGGTCGCAAATTTGGAGCGCGAGGATCTGGTAGCACAGAGCATCAAAGAGCCATTTCTCGGGGAACCTGGACGTCAGCGCACAGCTTTTGCAGCGGCAACGACCCGAAACACACTTGTTCGCACGGGAGGAGTGTGTTTATTTCGGCGTCTCGCCGCAGCGGGGCGCCAGTCACGTGGCTCTCCTCTCATCCTTTGTCTGCCGCTCAACCTTTTCAATTTCGGCGGCCGCTTCTCCTGGCAATCTGTCAGTCTTTGTCAGCATAGAAGCATAGACCAACACTGTCTACAAACAAGCCCGCGTTTGCCCAGACTAAGTGTGGGCACTGCGCAAACGCATGAACCAGATTCGCGTGAGGTGAAGCTTCTACGGATGCGCAGTGTCGACAAGAGCGCCACCGCAGAGGTGTGACGTTAAAGCCGCGTGTTGGTCTATAGAGGAGACTATGCTTGAACCCTAGTCGTCCGTCCGTCGTTCGTCCCCCCCCCCCCCCCAAAAAAAAAAAAAAAAAGTCCTTTTAGAGTCGTTCCTAAATCCCAAGTAAATTAACGTAATTTCCTCAGCGTGTTCTTAGATGTGTGTTATTACTGCATATTTTGTTATACTGTTCGTTTTCATTACTGTTACTAGTACTACCAAAGCGCAGAGCCCCAGATCCTCTGATGAACACTTTAAATTAACTAACACGAGTCGCTCTTATACGGGAAAAATTATTTAATTGCGCGACATGTAAATAGCGATTCTCCGCCAACCGTTTATTTACCTGCGAGACCGGGAATGTCTAAAACACCACCCTTCTTAAAATGGGGAAAAAAAAAACTAAAACGTTATTTGAACATTTACCGTATTCCCATAAAAATACTGGTCCCCCTCCATGGTGCTACACTGGATCAGTAACTCTTTGTGCATCCAGACGATCAAAATTTGTTGCAGGCCACGTAATATAGTCCGATTTGTAATAAATAAGTTCCGCTTTATTCTTCCTGCTCATGAATGATGAGCGAAGATGCCTGGTCTGCTTTCAAAACATCACCCGCAAGCTCGAAATCTCTGAAAATAAGAAGAAGTCAGAGGACAGGTGCCCGATAAAAACTGCCCAGCATAGGAAAAAAAAAAAAAAAAAAAGACATGCCCACATACTTTATTCGTTGCGTATCCAATGTTTTTTTGTTTTTTTTTAACCGGTCGTAAAGATGCACGACGGGGTCATTTTCATATAGTGACAGGACGGACATATACGCAATATACAGGGTGTTTCATAGAACGCAGGCCAAATCGCTCCTGCGATAACTACTCATCGCAACAAAAAAAGGTTTGTGGCGTTCTGGTCCTGGGCCAGGGGCCCATTTAGGAAAATTATTGAAGTCCGGGACAATTAAGTTAATTATTTTTGCGTAATTAACTTTTTTATATTGTGTTTAAGGGCGCGCTTTAAATTAGGAAATTGCTGAGCATCATCGAAAAATACTAATTCAACAAATTGCAGAACGATAGAAGGCACGCGAAGCATTTTACAGCTTTCTGAAAAACCACACAAAATCGACGGGTTTTTAAGTTTCGGTTTGCTATCGGAGCGCATCTCAGCCCCGGCGGCACCGCGCTCCGTGGAGAGATAGTGCAACCAACCTTTGCTGCGCTGTCATCGCGCTACGCAGCAGAGGCTGCTTGCGAAAATGGAGACAGCGGGAAGCAAGGCAGAGGGTGAGCGCAG